TTACGAGGCACCGACAGCGGCCATTTGTCCGGCCATGCTCACCCCGAGCAGCCGGGAGAAACACCGTGGCAGTTGTTTGTCCGTGTGATCGGCCAACTAGAGATGACGCACGCAACGGATCAGGGGAGCCGCAAAGTTAGCGCCAGCGACTCTGCTCGTCGGTGGGTACGCCTCGTTGTTGTGCGTCGACTTTGTTCCACTTTAGCGCAAGTGCGATGCATTGCCAGCGGTCAGACGCGGCCTGGGCCTTGTACAACTAGCGTCAGACAAGCGAGATGGCAGGAAAGGAAAGCGATCGGGCGGAGGATGGGCTGTTGCTGGCGGCGGAGTAAAGCATCCGGGCCGAGTGCCGATCACACTCAAGTCGAGCCGCGGGATCGAGCTGTGATGCGTGGAAGAGGGACATACGGTAAGTGAGACGATGGACTCGGGCTGCAGCCGAGGGCCTGGCCAGGCTGCGACAAGGCTCGCTTGGCAAGACGAGAAGCGTCGTTGAGAACGCACAGCTGCCGGCTGGGTTGGAATTGTTTGGCGTGTGGCTCGCAGCTGCGTCTGTGTGCATTGCCATCGGACCATTGCGCCGTGCTGCTTGCACCGCATGTGATTCGAGGCGAGCGCGAGCATGTCTGTGATAAGGGGCAGCTGCTCATGCATGCAAAAGTGATCCGTGCTACAAATAACCACCTGCAGTTCCGCCCAACATCCTCCGCCAGTCACACTCGCCGCCACGAGGCGCCCTTGCAACAAGCTTTCGAGCTTGGCGGGGCAGGGACGATAGCGACGGCCGACGTTGCGCCTTGGCTGCAGTCCTGCACCCACCGAGATGGAACTTGCTCGAAAGCGCGCAGAATGGCCGTCGCCCAAAGCCGATGCAAGGTAGCTCCATTGTGTCTTATGTTGAAAGCATAACGCTAGGCTGCAATGCCTGGACGTGACGCGTGCAGAGGCAGCGACTCAACAAGGCACCTGCTAGCCATTTAGCATTAGAGTTGGACGGGCTGCAGGGCGTCAAGGACGCTCGACGCCCGCTCTCCTTCATCTCGACGAGATGAGGGCGCGACAAGACAGTACCGCGGTAGGGTGCTCGCATGATTGCTGCCCCGCCTCGGCCGTCTGGCATTCGTGCGTTCTTGCAGTCGGGCGCCCTCCGCCGAAATGAAATTTCCGCTGCGAGTTCACCTTTTTTTTTCCCTCTTCTATTGTTTTCGTATCTAAGCGCGCAGAGCCGAGGACGCAGAGCTCGGTCATCGACGGCTGGCGAGCTGCACGTTGGCCACGCCCTCACGTAGGAACCGACAGCCTCGGCGACAGCGCTCGCATGCACCTCCATGCACGAGATGAAGCCTTGCGCGACCCTTTTTGTTTTTACGAAAAAATAATCTCTTTTCAAAATTGAGTGAAAGAAAGCGTCCAGGGCTGAAGCGTGGTTCCGTGCGATCCGATCGCCTGCACCCACTCCTGGCAGCCGACATGCCCTGACGCACGCCGATCCACACTCTACTTGAGCGCAGGACGTATGCTGGCGGTCGGCACAAATCCGTGAGCTCTGTCCGCTGCTCGAGTGGAATTGCGAGTTGAGCGGTGCCTGAGCTCAATGCGTGTCGGGTGAGCCGGCGCTTCGATCCGCTGGCACCTGTGACTGCACTTGTGGCTCTGGACGATGATCCCAAATAGAAAAAAAGGTCAGCGCGCACCTTGCTCGAGTCGGCTTCTATTTTTTTTTCGGGCCATCCGCGAGGCCGTTTCGCCGCAATCCCCCCGTGGCTGAGTACTGTAGCTGTGCTGGGATGTACCTCGCCCCCGCCCCGCTGTACCGCGTTGAGCCGCCGCCGCGTGCCCGTCCGTGCCCAAGCCGTGCCGCAAGTTGGGTGGGTAGATTGGAGCGCCGAAAGGCTTTGACACCCTGGATTCGAGCACCGCCGCGGCTTCGGCTCCCAGCTCTTGCCTTTGTTGCCTCCGCAATCTCGCCATTTTGGTTTTACAGTACCGCCTCGCCTCGCCTCGCCTCGCCTCGCCT